GATGAATTCTATCAGAATCCAAGGATTCCAAAAGATTGTAAAGTGAGAACCCATGCAACTTTGGACCTCCAGAAAACCCCTATGGTCTCCACAGGAATTTTGAAGCATTACCATTGACTCCAAGGATTCCATGAGAGACAACAAAGTCTGGCACTTGGACTATTGTGGATCATGATGAATTCTATCAGATTCCAAGGATTCCAAAAGATTGTAAAGTGAGAACCCATGCCTCTTTGGACCTCCCGAAAACCCCTATGGACTCCAAAGGAATTTTGAAGCATTACCGGTGACTTGAAGGATTCCATGAGAGGCAACAAAGTCTGGCACTTGGAATATTGTAGATCATGATGCATTCTATCAGATTCCAAGGATTCCAAAAGATCTTAAAGTGAGATCCCGTGCACCTTTGGACCTCGCGAAAACCGCTATGGTCTCCATAGGTATTTTATAGCATTGCCAAGGCTTCCAAGGATTCCGTGAGAGGCAACAAAGGATGGCATTTGGAATATTCTAGATCGTGACGGTTTCTATCAGATTCCAAGGATTCCAAAAGATCGTAAAGTGAGAACCCATGCAACTGTGGACCTCCCGAACACTCCTATGGTCTCCATAGGTATTTTATAGCATTTCCGAGGCTTCCAAGGATTCCATGAGAGGCAACAAAGTCTGGCACTTGGAATATTGTAGATCAGGATGATTTCTATCAGATTCCAAGGGTTCCAAAAGGTTGTAAAGTGACAACACGTGCAACTTTGGACCTCCAGAAAACCCATATGGTCTCGATAGGACTTTTGAAGCATTTCCGGCGACTTCAAGAATTCCATGAGAGACAACAGAGTCTGGCACTTGGAAAATTGTAGATCATGATGAATTCTATCAGATTCCAAGGATACCAAAAGATTGTAAAGTGAGAACCCATGCAACTTTGCACCTCCCGAAAACCCCTATGCTGTCCATAGCACTTTCGATGCAGTCTCGCCGATTCCTAGGATTCCCTGAGAGGCAACAAAGTCTGGCATTTGGAATATTGTAGATCACGATGAATTCTGTCAGTTTTGAAGGATTGCAAAAGATCGTAAAGTGAGAACCCATGCAACTGTGGACCTTCCGGAAACCGCTATGGTCTCGATACGTGTTTTGAAGTATTGCCAAGGCTTCCAAGGATTCCATGAGAGGCAACAATGTGTGGTATTTGGAATATTGTAGATCATGATGAAATGTATGAGATTCCAGGGATTCCAAAAGATTATGAAGTGAGAACCCATGCAACTGTGGACGTCCCGAAATCCCCTATGGTTTCCATAGGCATTTGGAAGCATTGCCAATACTTCGAAGGATTCCATGAGACGCAACAGAGTGTGGTATTTGGAATATTGTAGATCATGATGAATTCTATCAGATTCCAAGGATTCCAAAAGATTATGAAGTGAGAACCCATGCAACTGTGGGCCTCTGGAAAACGCCTATGGTCTCCATCGGTATTTTGAAGCATTGCCAGAGCTTCGAAGGATTCCATGAGAGACAGCGAAGTGTGGCATTTGGAATATTGTAGATCATGATGAATTCTAACAGATTCCAAGGATTCCAAAAGTTCGTAAAGTGACATCCCATGCAAGTGTGGGCCTCCCGAAAATCCGTATGGTCTCCATAGGTATTTTGAAGCATTGCCAAGGCTTCCAAGGATTCCATGAGAGGGAACAAAGTGTGGCACTTTGTATATTGTAGAAGATGATGATTTCTGTCGGATTGCATGGATTTCAAAACATCCTGAAGTGGGAACCCATGCAACTGTGGACCTCTTTGAAAGGGCTTTTTTTGGCATGATATGACTTTGAGAGGATACCAAGGATTCTATGGTTATAGAAGAATGTGTGGTATTTCGAATAGTGTAGATCATGATGAATACTATCAGATTCGAAGAAGTCTAGAAGATTCTGAAGTGAGAACCCATGCTAACCTAGACCTGCTTAAAACCCCTATGGTTACCAGACGGCGTTTTGCGGATAGGGAGGACACCACGGAGTCGATGAAATGAAACACTCTCTGCCATGCAGAAAATTGTAGATTATGTTGAATTTTAGCAGATTCCAAGGATTGCAAAGGAGGCTGAAGATGGAAACGTTGTAGATTCTGGTATCCTAATAAGTTTCTTTGGTGACTATGAAGCTGTTAGAGGATACCACATGTGCGAATCATGCGATGTCAGGAAAGAATATGGTGTAAGGAGAATATGATGTGTCATGATGGATTGTATCAGATTGCTGGGATTCCAAAGGAATTTGAAGTGACAAGCTGTTCAAATTGTGATATCCTGGCAGCGGCTGTTGTTAGTATAGGGCTTTGATAGCTTATGAAAGATTGTAAGTGATCAAGAAATATATGATATTCAGAGCCTTTTGGTTCATGATGGATTGTATATGATTCCAAGGATGCTAAATACGCTGGAAGTGTGAAACAGCAAAGAAGAGTATATTCTGAAAACCTCCGTTATGTACACAATGATTCTCAGCCGCAACGAAGGTCTCCATGGATTTCATGGCAGTAGAAATGTCTGGGTCTGAGAATGTTGCAGTCCATGAGGGAATGTATCACTTTATACGATGTCCAAAACATCGAGAAGCTAAAGGAGATGGAAATTGCTAGCCGTCGAATATCCGGCTATTGGGTATGGCAGTATTATAGATATCAAAGGGTTCCGATGATCGGATGGCTTTGGGTAGTGGCTTTTATGAAGAATGGTTAGGTGCATTTTGGATTCTATGATATGTCAAGTACTTCAGGCTGAGATGGAGATATTCTTATTTTCTTCATAGGTTGCTGGCACCTGATAGCCTATGAAGGTTTTTATGGTCGTGTCTCTTCCTTTGATTTTCATCGGTCTGGTCTGCCTGCTTGATGAGTCGGGTCTTTTCTTTTTGTGTACCAATAATTGGATAATAATTGAGTAGAAGTAGAAAACTGTCTTTGTAAGAGGATAGAAGCGTGTTTTAATATCAAAATAACATGACGAAATAAAACATCTATTCATTCATTGAGGTATATAAGTATTGAGTGGAAAGAAGAAAGAAGCTTTCAATGTTGAGGAAAAGCTGCTTTTCAATTTTAATCGTCTTACGTAATTTTGTGAAGAAAAGGACGATGACTTTTTAGTGGGAACGAATAAGAAACTGTAAGTATGTAATACTGCCTAGATGTTTGACGTAAAACTTTTGGAACAACCATTTAACAAGTGTGATCATTAATCTACCGAAACGTATAAATAAACTAAATAAATGAATGGACAATGAACAATTGAATGATAATTTATTGTTATTCCTGATTGCACTGAGTCAAATTGATACAATAGTCATTTCTTACATTCCAGAGCAAAAATTCTCGATATTAAATTTTGAAATTTGCACTTTCTACTCAAGAAATGAAGTTGTTTTTATTGAAAATGCAGAAAACGCACGACAGGTAGGCCCAATGGCCTGTTTGACCCTCTGATTTCGAAAGATCTCTACCTGGAAGATGAATGAAATCATGTTTTTCCAGAAACTTGTTATAGAGATTATAGAACTATTATCGCACAGCAGCGAACTTAACGATACCCTAAGAAGATACAATGTCGGTTTTCAGAATATGGACCCTGATAGTGGATTCTATGAGATTCGAAGGATTTCAAAAGATGTCTTACTGGGTAGTCAAGAAAATTGTGTTCTCCCGAAAACCCTTTATAGAGAGTATAGAACTTTGTTTGTGAGTTCACGGTTGTAAGGATTTCGTGACATGAAAAAATGTCTGATATCGAGTTTAATATTGTCGACAGTGGACTAGATCAGATTTGAAGGATCGTAGAAGATGTCGAACTGAGAAATCCTGCAAATCGAGATATTCATAGGTTTTTGTAGAGATCCTATGATACTCTAGGACAAGGGGGAGACGCTCATTGCAATCAAAATAATCATTGTCAATCAATAGTAACTATTAATAATTGTTCAGAATAAAGTGATTTTTATTGAAAACAATAACGCTAATTGTCATTCATTTTACATAATAGTTGTCAGTGCAGGAAGAATTATATCGTTGTATATTCTATAAATCCAGGACAGCCATGATGAATAATAGACAGTCGATATGCAGTCTGAGTCGATATTTTTCTTTTTGTCGTATGGTCATGCATTCATGTGACACGACACAGAATGAAAAAAAATAAACATCTCTTTCTCTTGTTGTTACCATTTCATTTCCATCTGTTCACATAAACTCACAGACAAACTGTTCATTTCTTAATTCTGCTGTTTTTAATAAACCTATTTCGAAATATTGACATATGGATACGAAAAGTACTTCCTTTGAAAAGTATGGATCTACGAGATGAAGCATTTTATGATTTTATTCGTCAAATTTCTGGAAAGCGAGTGGTAGAGCTGCTTGCCTTTCAAGATTGCAATGGAGTTGACTCATTTATTGGATGTCAAGAATGTACTGATGTACTTCGTTTTGAATCTGATCAATTAAATGATCTTAAAAAGAATATGTGCATTACATTACGTGACGGATCCGTTGCTCTTCTACCAGGTCTTGAATCATCGATTAGTAATCTCATCAAACTCCTTAAAAGAGCTCCGAGCACTACTTCATCCAATCTAGCAAAAACAACTGTACCAACATATCATTCAGCAATTCATACACCTTCACCATCAGATATATCAATGTATGCTAATTCATCTAACCCGTCATCACTTTATTTTTCAACTGCATCTAATCCTCTTATAGATCAGATGTCAAATAGAATTTCAACAACTATTATCGATTAGCTAAAGAAAAACCAACAAGAACTAACTTTAATGAATACGAATTTTCAACAAGGTATCGATTTTCTTGTTGAATTAAATAAACAACGAGATGGAATTATCTTAGTCGGTGTAAATGTGGCACGAAAAATGCTATTACACAACAACGAGGAATTCTTAGAGTAAGAGATTGAATAATTTAATCTTTAAATTTTGTGTACTAAAAAAAGATCCTTTGCTTTAGTTTTCGAATATCTATCGACATTTCAAATCCGGCAAATGTTCATTGATCATCGGAAAAAAAACAAAATTCAGGCGACGATCACAACACCGATGATGATCAAGAAAAAGATAGTCAAGCAGAGTTAACTATGACAACTTCATTAGTCTCGCCAACTTCACATCAATCAAATCAAATTCCGTTACATCTAAATCTTCAAAAGTTAATAATCGTACTCGTTCTGCTTCAAATGTATCTAAGAGAAAAAGACAGCGATTTAATTAGATATTTGTGTCTCTAATCAGTACTTCTTATTTATTTAGTTTTAATCCTAACTTTTTTATTTGCACTGTGAATTAACCTCTATTTGTTTTGACTCATTATTACTCTTGGTGATTATATGGATTGTATCGTTTCGACTGTTTTGTTGTTGATGTA